CTCTAACTCGGTTTACAGGGTTCTCACTACTCCCTAAGGCTCCCTAAGCTTCCCTAAGGTTCTCTAGGTACCTACCCCCGTGTTTAGGGTTTAGGGCTTAGGGGAAAGAAAAGTCAACCCCAAGAACCCAGAAACCCTCAAACCCTATACTCCAAAACCCGGAAACCCCAAATGGTTCATACAGGGGAATTCTCTTAAAAGGGGCTTGCCATTATAAGGCGGCACTTAATATTTAGGGTACCCAAAAAATATAATACATTTGAGAAGTGACCCTAAACCCTAAACCCTAAACCCTAAACCCTAAACCCTAAACCCTAAACCCTAAACCCTAAACCGTCTCAGGCCCGCACCGGGCATCCATGGCATGCCATGCCGCCTGCGTGAAGCGGCACATCGGGGGATAGGCCCCCGCCTTGGGCCGGCTCCCCGGCGGCAGGCGGCACTCCTCGCGGGTGAGGACGCCATGGTGCAGCCTCTCCTGCGCTGAGTTTGGGGTTTGGGGTTTGGGGTTTAGGGTTTAGGGTTTAGGGTTTAGGGTTTAGGGTTTAGGGTTTAGGGTTTAGGGTTTAGGGTTTAGGGTGTAGGGTGTTAGGGTTTAGACTTCCCTGAAACCCTAAACATCCCCAAGCTTTGGAGCCTGTGTCATAAATCTGACACATCAACGGCAACCTGCTGAAGATGGCTCTAAGACATCAGACGTATCCCCTGGAAGAAGCTAGAAGCGCACTTATAGCATAACCTCCGTGGAAGGATACCGACACCGGCTCCTGCTCCATGTACAGCTCCCGCAGATGCGAGCTGCCATACCTGCAGGCGAAGACAGAGATGCTCAGCTAGGGTGGTGCGCGGGTTCTTAACGTCAAGCCAGGACACAGCAAACCAGACTGCTAAAGAGCCTTCGAGGTTCCAAATCGTGGTCGGCATCTCTTGCTCGCTGCCGTTCTCACTGCTGTTCCAGCGCAGGCGCTTGAGAGAACTGTTCCAAAGCTTGCGGTTTGCATCCGACCATAGCCAGTGCCCAGCGAGCTCCACCCAGTGGCCATTTTGGCTTAGAACAGGGTCCAAGAATCTCTGCAGCTTCGCAGACAAGTGGGCCAGCGTCGAATCTTTGCCGGAGGCTCTCGCCCCGCTGCCGCTTTCACCCAGGCCCCCTACCTTCGCCTGCGGCGCCGGTGGCGGCGTCGAAGCTGTGTCGGAGGCTGGGGCTACGGAGGCAAGGGAGGTGGTTGTCGGGGAGATGCTGGGAAGGCTGCTACTCTTCGTCGTGTTCGACATGCTGGGACTGCTCTCTTGTGCAGACACAGGCTCAGCTACGGCAGCTACCACCTCGCCACGACTGCTGTTCTTGAAGTCCACTTCTGCCGTCCTGTTCCGGCTGCCACCGAAGCCCCTGAACCTCAGGCGGATGGAAGATCGGAAGCCGCTGTGAAAGCCGAAGGCGACCACGAAGCCCAAAAGGACGAGAAAAACCTCGCCACACTGGCGGCAGCTGGCAAGCTCCATCAGTCATCGGCTTCCCTGAAAATCCTTCAAAAACTTAACCTCCCAAACTCCCTAAACTCCTAACCCTGAACCCCTAAACCCTGAACCCCTAAACCCTAAACCCTAAACCCTAAACCCTAAACCCTAAACCCTAAACCCTAAACCCTGAACCCTGAGCCGGAGGGCTGCTTTTGGGCTCTTACGGCGCGATGGACGTCTCGTGGGATGCAGGCGAGCGGATGGTTTTCTCGGGGTCGTTTAGGGTTTAGGGTTTATGGTTTAGGGTTTATGGTTTAGGGTTTGGGGTTTGGGGTTTAGGGTTTGGGTTTAGGGTTTAGGGTTTAGGGTTTAGGGTTTAGGGTTTAGGGTTTAGGGTTTAGGGTTTAGGGTTTAGGGTTTAGGGTTTAGGGTTTAGGGTTTAGGGTTTAGGGTTCAGGGTTCAGGGTTCAGCATCTCAAGTTCGAGCATTTACTAGGCCAGCAGTGTGTGTAGGCAACGGAAAAAAACCCACCCACCCAGAGAATCCCACAACATTAAGAAAATAAAAAATTTACATTTCTCATCAGCAAGCCCTGTCCTCCAACCTCACTGTGTCATGGACCATCCTACCCACGAACCATTTCATCGACCCCCATAGAGGGGTGGGACTTGAAATCCTCAAACGGGTGAAGGCTCGGTTTTGGTAAAAATCTAGAAAAACGAGAGGCCCCTAGAACCGTCGATTTCAGTACTAAAAAATCGCAATTTTAACTGGGACCCGGGCCGATCCTGGGGTCACCCTCATTTGGGGTGTTTTTGGGAGTAAACTTTCCCTCTCAAGGGGGGGTCAGAGTTTCCCGCGCGCGGGCCAGGACAAGGTCAGACCCTTGAGTGCCCAACAGGGCCGGTCAATCTAGGAAGGGCCAATACCAAGGCCAAGGCCGCCCGCGCGCGGGCCAGGACAAGGCCAGACCCTTGAGTGCCCAACAGGGCCGGTCAATCTGGAAGGGCCAAAACCAAGGCCAAGGCCGCCCCGCGC